AAGTGTCTCTTATGAAGCTGTTCCAGGTATATTCAGTCCTTTTTGCTGACACCACACATTCACCTGAGCATTCGCATTTCTACAGAGCTCAGCTGCTACTAATAGACTTTTCAGGATTGTCAAACATTCCGCTCTTTACAGACTTTGTATGAAGTTCTTTTCATATGATAACTGGTAGATGATGCTCGATAAAAAATTCAGAAACACCGCAATCTGAGGCATTCTCGCTCATTTTCCGTTCCTCAGTCACATTAAATGGTCAAAACAGTGGAAGTCTCGAAAAGTGTCAAAGATAACCGAGTAAAGACTTGCATGTTTGATATCCATCACCAATACACATGGCAGGCGACCAGATACACAGCGGTATCCGGTTGCTGGAATATACTGAGAGTCTGACACTGTCTCGTTTTCGAATCCAATCAATGGAGCTTACTCGACAAACGCAACTGGAACCATTGAAAAAACCCTGAAGCCCCCCACCGTCCAAAAGAAATAGCTGACTTTGAGAATGAACGAAGGAAACAATCAAATGAATCAGTGAATGAATAGAGCAACAGGTATGGATAAATGAAAATATAAGCGAATGAATGGGTGGATAAACGGACAGACAGACAAGCGGAGAGCCGGATGAAAACCAACTGCGGACACGATGGCTGCACGATAGTGAATACCTTGGAATCCTGTTCATTCCCCTTATCTGCTTCGCTACCCGAAAGAAATAATACGCTTTGAGAGTACAATAAAGAATGAATGGAATGATGAAAAATGATATTCCGAAATGGAATAACAAATGAATGAATAATTGGCGCATGATTTATGAATAAATGATTAGAAATGAATGAGATAGTGAACTGATTCATGAGCGACTGAAGATTTGCCTCTATTTCAGGAATAAATAATGATAACTCGAATGTTTCTCTTACACCGATAATTACTTTATGATGTCAATTTCAGTGTGAAAATGTTCAATCACATCGCAGAGAAATTAAAAAATATAGTGTGTTGTAGCTGCTGCCATCGTCATCTAAGAAATCAGGGTTGAAGACCGAGTGATGTTAACTGCTACGCTAAAGATCATGTTTTTCGTCGCAAGTCCGCTATTAAAGCTGCTTTAGGGTGCAGTGTTGGCCTCCAACGGGTCTGCGGCTATAAAGGTAGTTTATTAAACACAATATATAATAAAATTCATTCATCGGAAAAAACATTAATTGTGAACTTCGATCTGAGTCTCATAAACACCTCTTGCTACGTATCGACTATCGCCTTTTGGTACTAAAAAACAGCTGCCGTCGGAAGCCAACAGGAAGACACGGCTGCAAATTTTATCCTAAACAAGCTGCGTGTGAAAAACACTAAATGCCGATCGGTAGTTTATGTTTAACCCGAGAAATCTTTTAACTACAAATTCGATAAATACTTTACCGGATGACACAGTTATAGAATTTCTTATATTGTATTACCTAACGTATATTATGCTCGAACTCCTTCAGGGATAGGCATGATGTAAAAGAAAAAATATTAGTGCAAATCGGAAAACGGATCGGTCAGGATCCGAAACGCCATTATTTATATAACAATTCGATATACGGCGTCATATGGCAAAGGACTTTACTAACGGAGATTTTTGTACTTGGAACAAATGGCATTTAATTCAACTCATAGACCCATAAAAGAAAAACTACAGAAAACAAATCTAATTAACTAAAAATTTTCAACCGCAATAGCTCATACATGCGTGACACTCACGCTAGCTTTCGAAGTTACAGCATTGGACAAAAAAACCTGCTCATAGTGATTGTAAACAAAACGCATGCGATATATGCAGATCAGAAAACAAAAACAATAATATATCTAAATTCTTTTGAAAATTTAATTACCATTCACGGCGGCGTCTCCCTTTTTCGGAAACAACTTGTCGACTATCGCCTTTCGACGGAAAAAGCGTTCCTCTGTCAGATCACTGGCCATTTCCCTAACTTCTGCCATCAGCTTCGGACTGTACCTAACAAATTTCAAATTTACGCACTCACAACACGAATAACTTGTTTCCCACTTACGAGCATTGAAGATATTCCATGTTTGAAAACACCTGCGACAAACACAGCAAACGATTCAACGGATACTGCCCCCAGTAACGTTCTATAAAAGT